GGAGGAGGAGGAGGAGGAGGAGGAGGAGGAGGGAGGAGGAGGAGGAGGAGGAGGAGGAGGAGGAGGAGGAGGAGGAGGAGGAGGAGGAGGAGGAGGCGTCGGTGTATAGAGTTCCGTTCCCTACTGATTTGCAGGGGAGAGGCCTGGCGGATGGGGAAGGCGGGAGCGCTCGCCGCTCGAGGACCCGTCCAGGGGCGAGCGCCTGCTCAGCAAGGCGGTCAAGGCGCGCCAGTGGGAGCTCGTCGAGTGGCTCCTGGACGCCGGCCGCCGCCTCTGGAGGGCATCTCTCCTCCTTCCCTTGGCATCGCTCGGACGTGTGCATTTTTCCTTCGGCGAGGACAATCGAGGAGCATCCTTGATCATTTGGCGAAAAAGCCACGCACGAAACTGAAACAAAAAACACAGGGAATGGACGTCCGAGCGATGGCCAGTCCCCCCTCTCCTCGTTTCTCCCCCTCCTCCTCCCCCTCCTCCCCTAGCCTTGGAGGGCTCTGCGGGGCCTTCTGGTGCCCTCTTGGGGCTCCCTGGGGGGCCTCCAGGAGCCTGTTTCGTTTTTTTTTTTGGGGGGGGGGGGTGAGGCCTGGGAGCGTCTTGGGGCTGGATGGGGCCCAGGGGGGGTCCCTTGTCTGGGAAGCCGAAGACCTGCCTTCCCCTCCCAGTGGTCTTGTTGTTGCTGCTGCTGTTGTAACTGCTGTTGTTGTTGGTGGTCTTGTTGCAATTGTCGTTGTCGTTGTCGTTGTCGTTGTTGTTGCTGCTGCTGTTGTTGTTGTTGTTGTTGTTGTTGTTGTTGTTGTTGTTGTTGTTGTCGTCGTTGTAGTTGCTGTTGTTGCTGGTGTTGTTGCTGATGTAGTTGTTGTTGTTGCTGATGTTGTTGTTGTTGTTGTTGTTGTTGCTAATGCTGCTGTTGTTATTGTTGTTGGTGTTGCTGTAGTTGTTGCTGTTGTTGTGGTTGATGATATTGTTGTGTTTGTTGTTTTTGTTGTTGTTGTTGGTGCTGTTGTTGATGATATTGTTGTTGTGGTTGCTGTTGTTGTGGTCGTCGTCGTCATTGTTGTCGTTGTCGTCGTCGTCGTCGTTGCTGTTGTTGTTGTTGTTGTTGCTGCTGCTGCTGCTGCTGTTGCTGGTGTTGCAGTGTGTACTTCTGGGGCATTCGTTTACGGGCGGACCGTGCCGTCGGCACGCTGCCGGGGAGCCTTCCAGATCGGGGTGGGCCGTGGCCACGATAGGGGGACGCTGGCGAGCTCCTCTGCAGTCGGGGCCCTGACGAAGGAACCCTTTTGGTTGGGGAGGGGCTCCGCGTTCCTGAAAGTGTTTCGCAGCTTGCCTCGCGTTTCCTTATGTTTCCGACCGGGAATCGAGGGTTAACTTGTGGAAAAGAGGGGCCTCGTTCCTTTTTTAGGGTTCCTTAGGTCAACGCCCCGACTGTCACCACCTACCAGACCACCCCAACCCAACCCGAAGGCCTCAATTTGCCCTTCATTTCCAGTGGGGGGGGGGTCGGGGAACGTCGAAAAAACACATGGAACCCGTACCCCCCCCAACCCGAAATTCGGGTCAAATTCGGGTCTTCGGGTTGGGTTGGGGTGGTTTGGTAGGTAGTCAGACTGTAGGGGGACGCTGGCGAGCTCCTACAGGACACCCTCGGGGACCCCCCGGGGGCTCCCGGGCCCCAATCACGCTCGGGCCGCCGAGCTTCTGCGGCCGTCGCCTGGACGACTGGGGCCTCTGCGCCCGTGCTCCGTGCACTGGTGGCTCCGGCTGCCAGGATGTGGTCGGCCATACAGTGAGCGGCTTGCGTAAGGAACGCTAACTTTTCAAAAGGTGCTCGGGCGTTCCTCAGGCTTGCATGCGTTGTTTATCGCTCCCTAGGCGTTATGCATGATTTGTTCATCGTTCCCTGTGCGTTATTCCTTGGAAGAAAGGGGCTTCGTTCCTTATTTATCGTTCCTTAGGTCAGGCCGATGACTGTATCGCTTTGGGCGCCGACGCGCTCAGTGTGGGAGGAAACAATTTTCGGGCCTGCTGTCTAAAGGCAAGCATCCTGTTGGGCAGGACCTCTCTGCTCTCAAGAAGGTCGCGGCCCGTCGCGATGCCGACGAGGAAGAGCTTTCGTCGGAGGAGCGCTTTCGTCGGCAAGACAACTTCACTGCCGACCTGTTTGCTCAGGAGGGTGCCAACGAGCACCTTGTCATGTATCCACATGATAGCGGCGCCCTTGTCCGTCGTATCAAGATCGCCCGATTGGTCCTGAGAGCTGGTGCGGAGCTCCTGCCTCTGGCCACGCCTGGAGTTTAGAGGCTCCATGAAGTCGAAACCGCCTCCCATCGAGAATCCTTCTGGTCTCGAGGTCGGGCATTCTTGGGCTCGGGTGGGGTCATTCTGGGAGTGCCGTGTTCGTCTCCGTGGGTCGCGTTCCAGGTGCCCGCCTCCGGGGGACTGTTCTGGGCACTCTCGGCTGGGCCAATTTGTGTGTTGCAGCGATTCGGGCACAGTGTGATTGTCTTTCCGTGCTCTGATCGTTCCACTTTGTTCGCTTGTCTGTCGAGCAGGTGGGGAGGAGGAAGGGGGAGGAGGAGGAGGAGAGGCAGGAGGAGGATTAGGGAGGAGGAGTGGAGGAGGAGGAGGAGGAGAGAGGAGGAGGAGGGAGGAAGGAGGAGAGGGAGGAATGAGGGGGAGGAGGGAGGAGGGAGGAGGAGGAGGTATGGTGGAGGAGGGAGGGAAGAGGGGGGAGGAGAAGGAGGAGGAGGAGGAGGAGTAGGTAGGAGGAGAGGAGGTTTGTCGAATACGAAGAAGAAGGAGGCGGAGAGGAGGAGGAGAGGGAGGAGGAGGAGGGAGGGAGGGAGGGAGGGGGGGAGGGAGGGATAGACGAGGGGGGAGGGAGGAGGAGGGAAGAGGGAGTGGCGAGAAGGGGCGAGGAGGAGGAGGAGGAGGAGGAGGAGGAGGAGCGCAGGTAGTCAAGCTGGGCAAAAAATGCGGCCCGCCTGCCATCACATCGGCTCGTCGCATACGATGCCTGAGGCAAGGCCGTCTCCCTGATAAGGATCAGGTCAGCCTCGACATCGATGATTCTGTTCCCCAATTAGGCTTGCCTAGTGAGTTCTTGCTTGATTGCAGGTTGGTGCCTCCTATTGTTACCTTTGCCCGTTGCTTGGAAGTTTTCTCGGGTTCCTCGGGTTCCTCCGGTTCGCCGCCCCTGGTGCCTCCTACTGTTAGGAATGCAACGTAACGGAAATCAGTGTACAGCAATGCAACGCACTGCAGAACAGTAAAAAAGTAGCGCAAGGCAATGCCAAGCAGCGCGCCCATGCAATAGGAAGTTTTCCCCTCGTTGGGGGTCGCGCTGGGTCCACTTTCCTGCTGTATTTGGAAGCCTTGAGCCTCGAGCTGGAGCTGCTGCCAGCACCGGGGTACACCTTAGGCGATGCTTAAGAAAACTTAAGTTTCCGGCCAGAGTCTCGATTATTCTTAACGTTTCAATGTAAAGCTTAAGATTTTAATGGAAATGTTGGGTTTTTATTCAAGTTCTGAGACTATGAATTTCTTAACCCATGATTTCTTAAGCATTTCGCAGGGTGTATTTGGAAGCCTTGAGCCTCGAGCTGGAGCTGCTGCCAGCACCGGGGGACTGGCCTTGCTGCCAAAACGCCTGGTCACCCCAGGCAAGCGGGGGTCGGCGGATTCACAACCCATCCCCTGTTCCATGCTCCCTCGTTTTTTTTGCGTTCCTCGCCATGCCGACATCCACAAGCACAACGAAACCTGGTGATATTATAGACGTGGGATTGTGCAGGGCCGCCAGCCTTGCCGCCAGACTATTGTGTCCTTGAGGCAACTACCTCGCGACGGGGGCAAGCGTGCATAATCTGGGGATGCACGAAAGCTGGCGTTGCCGCCAGGCAGCGTCCAAAAGGAGAAGACCCGTGGTAACCGGGGAAACGTAAAAGTGTGCAGGACCGACGGCCTTGCTACTAGGCTGTATCCTTGAGGCAACTGCCTCGCGACGGGGGTAAGCGCGCATAGTCAGTGGATGCACGAAAGCCGGCGCTGTCGTTACCCAGCGTCCACAAGGAGACGAACCGTTGGAATTGCGATAGACGTATCAGAGTGTTCAGGACCGCCGGCCTTGCCGCTGGGGTTGTGTCCTTGAGGCAACTGGTTCGCCACGGGGGCCAGCGCGCAGCATCTGCGGATGCACGGAAGCCGGCGCTGCATCCCGCCGGCCTCCAAGAGGCGACGAACCGTGGTGACCAGAGAGGCGTGAGAGAGCGTGCTTGACCGACGGCCTCGCCGCGGGGCTTTGGCTTCCGGCAATCGCCTCGCGAATCTGTGGATGCACGGAAGCTGCCGCTGCCGCCGGCCAGCGCCCGTGGTACCCGGAGAGGCGTGAGAGCGTGCAGGACTGCCGGCCGTGCCGTCGGGCTGTGCCCTTGAGGAGGGGGGGTGGATATTTGGATGCAACTCCTGGGAGGTTAAATTCTGATTTAGCCTTGGTCCGGAATCCCGTATAATCCGGCTTAATCTCGCTCAATTCCGATCAATTCGGCTTCATCCCGTTTAATCCCGCTTAATCCAGCTTAACCCCGCTTGATCCGAGGCCCACTCTGGCGTAACAGCCCCCCAATCGGGCTTAAGCCTCCTTAGTCCTTCCGACGAAAACCTCCCAGTAGTTGCCTCCTGAGGGATAGGAGGATGGGGCGGTAGGAAGGGTACAAGCAAAGAGAGGTCACGGCACTCAAGTGGGCCAATCTGGCTTATCTCCTCCTCCTTCTCCTCCTCCTCCTCCTTTGTCTCCGCTCCTTCCGCCTCCTGCCCACTTTTCCTGCTGCAGCTCCTTCTCGCCCTGTTGCTGCTGCTCCTCTTCCACTGTCGCCTCATCATGCCCGTTCTGTTCTTCGCTACCGTGCAAGTAGCTGTCGTAGTCGTTGTAGTTGTACTCTAGTCGCAGTTGTATCAGGGGCAGCCGCAGTAAAAGTACGCGAAGGAGGAAACACATGTAGTATCATGAGCCGTTCTTTTGTATACTAGTCGGAGCACGACGCACCTGACAGTATTCAGTAGTTTGTAGGCTGCACGTGTTCGTCGCCGTCGCCGTCGCCGCCCCGTGGCCGCTCTGGGCCAGTGTGTGCTTCAGGTGCCCGAGCTTTGCTCATGGGAGGCGCCTCCCCGAGAGCGGGCCATGGGCTGTGCTCTCCGCCGCCGTCGTGCCGCGGCGTCTGCGGGCGGTGAAGGTGGCTGCGGCGCGGAGGGCCCCAGCGCGTCCTTGTATGCCACGCCTGAGATGCTCCGTCTGCTGGCCAGCGCGCCGATGGCCTCCGCGTTCGAGCAGGACGTCCGGGAGCTGGAGCGCGAGTTCGGCGTCCGGGTGCTCCGCGGCGCCTGCTCGCTGCTGGTGGATCGGTGGTTCAAAGGTGGGGTCCTGAGGGATGGGGCCCTAAGGATAGGAAGGGCTCCAAGGGTGGATTTACATTGTTTGAGGCACCTCGTCCTTAGGACCCCGCAGGACCCCCTCTTCGAACCACCGAGTGGAGGGGGGCGGTCGGGAGGCACGCGCGCGCGCTCGGCGAACCCTGCGGGACGTGCTGCGCTTCTACTTCCCGGAGGCGCCGCCTCCGCCGGCCGCTGCACCCCGCGGCCGCGGCCGCAGCCGCAGCCGCAGCCGCAGCCGCAGCCGCAGCCGCGGCAGCAGCCGCGGGCGCAGCCGCAGCCCCGGCAGGCGCGCGGGCCTCGCGCGAGGCGGCGCCCGCGCGCAGCCCGTCGCGCCGGCCGAGCTCCGCGCCAGGCTCGCGGAGCACCTGGACGCGATGCGGCTGGAGAGGGCGGCGGCGGCGGCGGAGCAGCGCCTGCGCCTGTACGCTGGGGACGGGCCCTCGCCGGAGGGCAGCGGCGATCGGTCCTCGAGCCCCTGTGGCGGCGCAGCGGGCGCAGCGGGCGCGGCCGGCCCCGCCGCGGCAGCAGGCTGCCCCTTCTGCGGCCGGGGGCTCCTGCAGGCCTTCTCCTCCGAGGCGTGGCTCTGCGCCAACGAGGCCTGCGGGAGCTCGGCACACACAGCAGGGGCGGGCCGCTGGTACTGCGGGGAGTGCCGCATCGACGTGTGCGAGGCGTGCCTCGACTCCTTCCTGCGAGCCCCTCCCGGCACCCTCGCCGTCGCTGGGGACGCCTCCTCGGAGGGCCAGTGAGCCGATCTCGGGTGGTGAAGAGGGCCCTCTTCTCCTCTTGGCTCCTCCTCGTGCTCCCCCCTCCTCGTGCTCCTCTTGGCAGGGACTCCTCGGGGCACGCTCCACCGCCTCGTGCCCCTCCCGCCTCTGCCCGTGCCTCTGCCTCGGCCCCGCACCTTCCGGAGGGCACGCGTCGAGGGACACGGCAGGTCGCCACGGCGGCCGCAGCCCGAAGCGGCCGGAGCGTGATCTTCGAGGCGTCGTCAGGAGGTCGGGCTCAGCCTCACATGAGTCCATCCCTGCACTGTTTGCCCACCCTCCTCTTGCCTGCTCTCCCCCCCCTTCCTCCTGCCCTTCCTCCCACGTCTCCTTCCCGTCGTGCTCGTCCCTGCCCTGGCCTCCGCGTCGTCGTCGTCGTCGTCGTTCTCCTCCTCCTCCTCCTCCTCCTCCTCCTCCTCCTCCTGCTCCTCCTCCTCCTCCTCCTCCTCCTCCTCCTCCTCCTCCTCCTCCTCCTCCTCCTCCTCCTCCTTCCTCCTCCTCCCTCTCCCGCCTCCTTCGCTGCCTCTCCCCTCCCTCCGCCCCCGGGCCCCTGGCCCCTCCCCGTGGCCCGCGCGCCTCCCGCCAGGAGGGCGGGCGCCTCGACCGCGAGGACGCCGCCTCCGTGGTCCAGCAGGCCGAGGCCGGGCTCTCCCGAGGGGGCGCGGCCGTCGTCGTCGTCGTCGTCGTCGTCGTCGTCGTCGTCGTCGTCGTCGTCGTCGTCGTCGTCGTCGTCGTCGTCGTCGACCGTCGACCGCCTGTTGTCGAGCGTCGTCTGCCGTCGGCCGCCGCCGCCGCCGTCGCGCTCACAGGCGCTGGGCCCTGCCGTGAGCGCGGCGGCCGCGCGTCGCTGAGACGCGAGGGGGGGAACTGAGAAGGAGAAGGCCTTCTCGGAAGGCGGCGGGACTTCTCGGAAGCCCTCGCGCCTTCCGAGAATTTTTGTTGTTGTCTTCGGGGAAGGCTCGGAAGACTTCTCAGAAGTCCGGGTGACTTCCGAGCCTTCTGAGACAGCACGCCCCTTCTCGCTTCCCCCCTGGCTCGCCGCCTGGATGTAGTCGACAGCCCAGTGGCGCGCACCCCCTCGCGCTCGAATTGTGGCTCTGTCTGTCTCTGTTGCGATCCCACTCGCGTCCGCGGCTTCTGGAGAAACATCAGTTCTCTGCTGCTTCTCGCTAGAGAATTAGCTGATCGCACGCATCGGTGGCGCGCGCCCCCTCGCACTCGAAAACACGTCACAGCTCGGTTGCTTTCAGCCCGAGGGTCATTAGTCGCAGCCCGTCGTAACGTCGTCGCGGCCGCCCCTCCTAGTGCAGTCCAGAAGAGGCGAGCTCCGCCTCTGTGAGCAGCTCGGCTATGACACCTCGGTGGTTCTTTCGAAGCCAGAGAAGGACGACCGGACCGAGGTGTAAGATCGAGGTCGGTTCGGGGAGGCTGCCCTCATGTTCTTCGTGCTTGCTGGATGCTCTTGTGCATCCTGGGGGAGGGCACCATCGAGTGATGTCATGGTTTGGGGTATGTTAGCCGGCGCAGGGTCGCACGTTCTGCAAGGATGCTCTTCTGTCCCAGGGCCGGCCGTAGTCGCAGCCCGTCTCGAAGTGAAGGTTATCGCGGCCTCCCCTCCCCGCGCAGCCCAGGAGAGGCCGGCTCCGCCCCCGGGGGGCAGCTCGGCTGCGACACCTCGGCGGCTGTCTGTTCTGTTCGGCGAGAGAAGCAGCAAGAGTCCGGTGGCGCGCCGCCTCTCTCCATCGCATCTGCGGTGTCCGCACCTGTTGCGATCCCAGCTGCGTCTGCGCCCGGAAAGGCACGGCTCGGTTGGTCTGAGCCCGAGAAACAGTCAGAGTCCGATGGCACGCACCCCTCGCACTCGAAACCGCTCTGTCCGTCTCTCTCTTTTGCGACCCCAGCCGCGTCCGCAGTCTGAACATAGTCACACGTCGAGTGCTTCAACCAAGGAAATAGGTACAGTTCGCGTTGCGGCTACAACCGCTTCCGAGGCCTGAACATACTGACAACTCGGCTGTTTAAGCAAAACAAGTAGTCACAGTTCGGTTGCGCGCACCCTGTCGCTCTCCGCGCAGGCCGACCCCAACTGCGTCCGAGGCTTGAAATGAACACCGCGCCGGCTTACCAGAGCACCAGTACTCGCGCAGACGTCCGCCAGACTCCACCATAGCTTAACAGTTGTGAAACACTTGTGCCAGATTTCTGCCAGTTGCACGCCCAGCCACAAATCTGGCAAGGACCTGGCAAGGCTGTATTAAGAAGGTTGTAAACAAAAACAGCTTGGCACAGTTCAGCCGTGGCCTCCTCCTCCGTCCATCCCTCCTCCTCCGTCCCCGCACATTCTCCTGCTCCTGCTCCTGCTCCCTGCTGTTGCTGCTGATGCTTCCGCTTCTTTCCCTCCCCCTCTTCCTGCCTCACCCCTCCTGCTGCTCCTCGCCTTCCTCCCCATCCTCCCCTCCTCTCCTCCTCCTCCTCCTCCTCCTCCTCCTCCTCCTCCTCCTCCCCATCCTCGTCCTCTTCTTGCCCCTCCTCCCTCCTCCTCCTCCTCCTCCTCCTCCTCCTCCTCCTCCTCTTGCGTCCTCCTCCCTGCCCCTCCTGCTCCTCCTCCTTCTCCCTCCTCCTCCGTCGGCCCCTCCTCCGCCCTCCTTCTCTCCTGTTCCTCTCTCCTCCTCGGCTCCTATGCCTGCTTTCTCGCCCGCGCCTCGCCTGATTCTCGCCTCGCCAGCCCCCTCCTTTCTTCCTGCTACCTCCTCTACCTCTTCCCCTCCACCTCCACCTCTACCTCCTCCTCCTCCTCCTCCTCTCCTCCTCCTCCTCCTTCCCCTCCCCTCCTCCCCCTCCTCCTACTGTATTCCTCCCCCTCCTCTTTCGTCTCCTCTTCTTCTTCTCACTCCTCCTCCTCGCCTCGCCTAGCCCATTCCTCCTCCCTCCTCCCAGTCGCCTCCCTCCCTCCCCCGTCCTCTCTCTCCTCCCGTCCCGTCCTTATCCTCCTCGCCACCTCCTTCACCCTCGTCTTCTCCTTCTCCTCCTCCTCCTCCTCCTCCTCCTCCTCCTCCTCCTCCTCCTTCCCCCGCCCGAAGGAGGAGTTCGTCCACGTCTGGGGCGAGGGCCCTTGCGCCGAGCGGCGCGCCCTGCTGCGCGAGCACGGGGAGCTTGCTGAGCTTTGCGGCCTCCTGGATGAAGGCGCCCCCCCCGCCTCTCGGAGGATGAGGTGGAGGAAGACGAAGAGGAGGAGGAGGAGGAGGAGGAGGAGGAGGAGGAGGAGGAGGA